AAAAATAGCCCAAACCCCAGCCCATTCCAAATGTCAAGTAATAATTATGGCAGAATGTGAGCACCTGAATCTCAGTATTGTATTGTAATGTATTGGACTTAAATTGCAACGAGTGAAATACTATTGCTGATAGCATTAGAAAAGGACCGAGGACCGTTCAGACCAAAGAACTTATACACAAGAATGCATAACCCAAGGACACAGACAATAGTGTGGTGAAGCAGGGCAGGGAGTGAGGTGGAGGGGGTCAATGAGGAAAAAAAGAGGGACATCTGTCAAACTGTCAACAATAAAAGATGAATTAAGAAAACAAAACAGAAAGGGCCCTTCAGGACTCACACCTTATGTGTCAGAGCAGAATTGGGAGAGAAACTTCCGGTTGGGCTATTCCGGGTCCTGATGTCACCAGTCCTCAGGCAGCACATGACATTGGGCCCTAATTTTAGACCTCAGTCCACATTTTTAGATCATAATATTCTGTCATATAAGTTAAAACGTTTTCCATGTTTATAACAAATAATGCCTCAGAGCCTCTCTTTGTGCATAGTGTCCTGATTTATATTTTAATATTTAATAGGAGGTTCCCAAGAGAAAAATGCTCTGTACGAAGTCAATGGATATGATTAGTTTGGTTTCTTGATACATATTCCCAAATTTCTTGGAAACAAAACTTTGAATCTAAATGTAAAACTTTCTACTGAACCACATTGCTTCTGCCAACGATTGTGACAACAAAGGGGTCCTACAGGAACCATCTTTTTATTAAACCACTGTCCCTGCAGTTTGGGCGGCAGCTTACTTTTGTGATCTTGGAGTGTAAGTGCCTCGACCCCCCAGGTTGGGATGGGCAGACGGAAAGTAAAGGTCAAATTCTGTTCAAGAAGAATAACATTTTAGTGAAGCACTAGTATAATCTTAAGAGAAAACAAATCAGGAATTTTAGTCAAATTCAAACATAGACTATTTGCCAAATATATTTTTAAAAAATAAATTCTTATCTAGAACTAATTTCTTCATTAATAGTAATAACCAATAGTGTTTATTTTATGTACCCATGGTGTTAGTTGTGTGTATTAAATTTTGAAACAAAACAAATATGTTCTAAAACTCCCAAATGTGTATAGACATGCTTTATGTTTTATACTTGAATGTTACCTAAATTAATGAATATTGTATATGCACAATACAATTTAGGGCTTAGTTTCACCAATAGTAATAAAAACCTATCAAGATAACTTTCAAAATTGTTGGGAGAATCATGGTTCATTTCAGTAGAAATGAAACAAAGTTGAAAAACATGTAAAATAGCATTATTGTAATGAGAAAGCTGAGTTAAATTCTTGTGACTACCAAAACATTTGTTTTTATTTAGTTTAAATTACTTAAAGATGGAGAGCCTTTGAGGAAAGGAAGTACATACATAAAAAATAGTACTTAGTACTTAGGCTACTCCCAGTGGGACTGAGAAATATTTACAGGAGCATGTTTCATTAATAATCATCAAGCCACTATGATGCTTTCCATTTATGCTTCTAAAGACAACACATTCAGTGAAAAGCTAAATTGTAGAATATTTCAATTAAATGCAGTTTGGTTACTTTCAAATAATGTCTTTATATATCACTGGACTTTTAGCAACTTTAATTCTTAAGACAAACTAAACACACACACACACACATCTAAACACATACACAAATAAATAAGAAACATCTCATAACAAACTTAACATTTCAGAGCTGGCACACTTTTCCCAGGTGTGAAACTTTAGGCCCGTAGCCCACATTCTACTGATTCAGAATGGAAGGTGAAAGGAAACGCTGCCATCTATATTTATAAAAAGCCAGTGTCTGTGACGACCAGGACGACCAAACGACCAGTCACCATGAGGTGCATTGAGCACCTCTTGGTCCCTCCCCCGCGGCGCACAGGCTCTGATCATAGCAAGGTGGGTAGTGGGTGGGCGGGGCTGTGAATGCGGCAGGGTGGCTGGCGGGTGGTGGCGAGCTACCATGAGCGATTTTGTGTGCTGGGCCTCTAGTCTATAATAATAAAAGCGTAATATGCTAATTAGACCGGACACCCTTCTGGATGTCCTTCCGGACAACCTTCTGGATGAAGCCGCAGTGGTGGGGGGCCAAGCCCCCTTGCATGAATTTTGTGCACTGGGCCTCTAGTTTAATATAAAAGATTATGCAATAAGTAACAGTGTAAACAGCACTCTAGAAGGCTTGCCTCTGACATGTCTGAGATTGCGTTTTCCTGCACCTGTTTTATTTCTGAGCATGGAGATGGTAAATCCGGCTCTCTCGTAGTCGAAGGAGACAGTTTTGCACATCTGTATCCTTCATTGTCAGAGTATAAAACTTGGTCTTCCAAATGATGACCTTGCATTGTCAAGGAAATACTTTTAAATTATTTTTAAATATGCATGTCTATATTTAAAGAGGGAGACTTATGAACATGCCGCAAATAACTCCGTTAAATAGTTGTAATAGCAAAGATGCATTGCTTATAATGGTAATTTTTACTTATCTGGAAAATCCACATGTACTAAATATTTCATTCTCATATGATGCTTGAAAAGTGGCTTTCTCTCTGTATTATACATATTTTAAATATAAATATAATATAGATTTCAATATAATTGTGTAATACATAAAAATATTTTATAATATGTGCCAGAAATATCAAAGGCCTATGCTATAGCATCATTCCAAGTTTTATATTAAATGAAATCATGAACTGAATTGTGTCTCCCCCAAATTCATATGTTGAAGTCAAAGTCCTGATGCTCACCACGATGATATTTGGAGACAGGGTCTTTATGGAAGAAATTAAGGTTAAATCAGATCATAAGGATGGGGCCCTTACCCAATAGCATTAGTGTCCTTTAAGAAGAGAAACTAGAGTCTCCCTCTCTCTCTGTCTCTCTCTCTCTCTTTGCCATGTGAGGCCTGAGGGCATAGTGAAAAGGCAGTAAAGGCAGCATAGCAAAACTAGGAGGAGAGCTTTCATGCAAACCAAACCATGCTGCCATCCTGATCTTGGATTTTCAGCTTCTAGAACTATGAGAAATTAAATTTCTGTTGCTGAAACCCCCCAGCCTATGATATTATGGTGACCCAAGCTGAGTAAGAAAATGTATACTGATTATAAGTTTCATAGGTCCTAAGGTCACGGGGGCTCAGATTACCAGCTTATTCTCTTAATCATTATGAATGATCTACAGAAGTTTCCACAGTCTTCTATAAACATGGTTTGTCCCGTTAATGTCTTCCTGAGGCTTTGGGATAACATCTCACTTCCAAGAAAGATGCAGTTTGCAGAAATTTGTTTATTTGTCAGCTGATTTATATCACCAGTTGAGTCAGGTCTATAGGACAATGATCTGTATAGAACATGCCTGAAAATGTTGCTTACTCAAACTCATTCAAGCTTGCCTAAACTTAAACACAGCTGAATGGCCCATGACACGTGTTTACAGAATGCTATCCCTGTTGTCATAGCGATTGCCATAGGCTCTCATGTATGGGAAACCACAGGGTTCTCAGCTGGAAGCTGCTCAACCCATTTGTTAGTGCCAAGGTCAAAGATATCCGCACAAGAGCACAAGCACAGGGCACGTGCAGACGCAGTGACAGGCCTTGTCTGCTTTTCTTTTCTTGAGAAGCACACCCCACAGTCCAAGCAGAATCTCAAGACGTCCCACCACCGCTTTCCTGGCCAGAGTGTGATTTTCATCATGGACCGCTCTGAGGGGAGACATCATGACCCCCATGCCAGAAATCGGGAGACTTCCGTTTTTATTTGCTGCGTCACTAACAGGGTCTGGTCCTTGGGTCAGGTATTCCGCCTGCTCAGGCCTGCGTCCTCCCTTATCAGTAATCACGTCAAACTAGATCAGAAGTTTTCAAGCGGTCTCAGTGGGGATGAGGACGGGGTGGCTGAGAGCGGGATTCTGTGGTTTCACACCATCTTCCATCGGGGAACTCTGTGCTCAGCTCCTGAGATGCTTTTCCAGGGGAAAGAGCACCTCTGTTTTGGTGGGTGTGCGGGAGGAACAGTGAATTTTATAAAACTTCCGGAGAGAACAAGTGGCCTTGGGTACATTAATTAATCTCTGGACCTTGAAGATTATACTTCATCAATATTTTTATCCAAACTTTTTCCAGACTAACTTAAATTTCACATAGTGAAGATTTATAATCTCTAAATGCTTAAAGAACACTGACAGGCTAGTAACTATTTGAAAACAGCTGGGCCATAGGCATTACCTTAAAGGTAGTCTGCTTTTAGGATATATATGTTATATTAATTATATTATATTATATTATATACATATACTATATTACTATAAGATATATATATATGTGTGTGTGTGTGTATGTGTATATATATATATATATATATATATATATATATATATATATATATACTCCAGCCCTTTAAAGAAAGAGAAAAAGACCAAGAAGCCTGGAGAGAAAAACAGGAGATTTTTGAATTCCTAAGCGATAATATGGCTAAGTCAGAAAGAGTCTTTAAAAATAGTAATCTGCAAGATAAAGCCCCACGGACTCTGTTTATGACAGCGGGAATCGACGCTGCCACCTCACAGCTTATGATGGAAAAGAAATTCAGCGAAAACAGCGGCGGGGAGAGGCACAGGTGTCCGTGACCAGAGGAAGGCTGTGAACCGCACTGAGAGGCTGGGAAAACAGGAGCAGATGGCTCGGTTAGAAATGAGAAGATTGATGAGCCAGCCAGCAAGAGGCAGCCGGCTGATGGAGCCGCCCTGGAAACCGTGGAGATGAGCTCACTGCTTTCTGTCACCCAGGACACCTCACGGGCCCACGTCTGGCCCCTCCCGAGGCAGCAGGTGGGCTGGCGGAGAGAGACGGCCCCGGGGTGAGTGACACTCCCACAGAAGACTGCTCTGCGCTCAGAAAGGAGGTCGTCTGTTAGGGGATCTTTCGTCCGTCATTTGGCTAACGTTGTGGGAATTGAGAAATGCCAAGCAGCAGCTCTGATGCATCAAATGGAGCCAGGGCTGTGCTATGCAGAGATAAGATAACGGGGACCCTGAGTCATTGCTTTGAGACTACTCCACAGCTGATAACAGTGCGAGCAAAGGACCGAGAGAGGGAATAACAAGTGCTCGTGGGTTTTAAAAAAGGAAGTCTGAGCGGTTACGTGCCAGGATGATGCTCAGCTGCACAGAGAGGCTACGGCAGGTGAGATCAACAGGGACTTGCAAGTCTCCTTCTAGAACATTTGTCTCCTCAGGCCGTCCGATTGGGGCCCCTTAATATGTTCTGTCTGGTTCTCGTATGGAGTTTATTTTCTTACAGGTTTTTTGCTGGTTCTCACACCAACCTCAGCAGGTGAAGGCTGAGTAATGACTCACGTGCATCTCCGTTGGGGCAACAGCCTGACTCCTCACCGGACCCGCTGCGGGAGAGAGCTGGGATGCACGGGGCCGCTGTGAGCTGTTTTGTGTATTTGAAGGCGGTGGGAGGACGGGGCGGGTTCCGCAGAGAGGAGAAGCGGACGGGAAGGAACTGCATGGAAGGACCTTGGGAGCAAAGATCACTTTGGAGTGGAAGTCTGAGGATGTGGGAAAAAATGAAAGAGACCGAAGAATCTGAGGAATTGGAAACGGTTAGGACCAGCCAAGATGTGACTTCAGTGTCCAGTGTGGGAAATTGCTGTGAAAGGCACGGACGTTCCAAGGCTTTTGTCAGAGCGGAGCCCCACTCGGCTGGCAGTCTTAAAGGGACCCAGCAAAGAAGGCCTCCAAAGGGGACAGGATTCATTTCATTTTTAATTTTTAAAATATTTTAATTGATATTTTTAGAGAGAGAGGAGAGAAGGAGTGAGAGAAACATCGACATGACAGTGAAACATCAGTGATCAGCTGCCTCCTGCACAGCCCCCAGCTGGGGAGCTTCTCCATTCAGGGATGGAGCCTGCAACCTGGGCCTGTGCCCTGGCTGGGAATCGAACCAGCTACCCCTCGGTGGATGGGATGACGCCCAATCAACTGAGCCACACCGGCCAGGGTGGAACAGAATACATTTTCACTAGCAGGAGAAAACAGTCAAGTAGAAGATACCGTCCATTGTCCATCTACCTGGACCAGGCCCTTTGTGTAAGTCAGTAAGTGCAGTTCTCACAAACAGGTGTCACGATCACAAAAAGGGAAACAGACGGAAAGCGTGTGACTCACCCGGGGTCCTCACCTGGGAGCTGAGATGCGAGCGATGCGTGTCAGTCCGCAGGGCCCAGGCCTCGCCACCGCATCACCGGCCCTCAGATCCCCCCGGGTCCGAGGGCAACCTCACACCATGACCGCTGCCACCCACAATGCTCTGCCTCGGCCAGTTGGAGTTAGATTCTAACTGTTAGAAGCTAAGAAGAGCTCCAGGTGAAGGCACTTGAAGTTGCTCAAGTAAAATTCCACTCACCTGGCCAGGAAGGACAAGGAAACACAGGGGAGGGAAGATGCTGTTGCTGAGGGCAGCAGGCTGACACTCGGGACCCTCATCCGCGGCTCCGCATTCTCAGCGCTGGCTGCACAGGGGAGTAGCTGGGAGCCTCCAGCCTCCCTCAGCCTTCGTCCCACCCTAGAGAGTCTGCATATACTCGACTGGGGTCATTGGCGTTCTCCCCACTGAGCTACTTCACCGGGACCGCCCAGGTGGCCACAGTGTGTAGCCAAGTCCAAGACCTGGTGCTCTGCCGGTTGAGTTTGACAGCAAGGCGAGCCCCTGTTAGTTCGCCTAGTGTTTTACGAATAGCAGATGCTGAAGAAATGTTTGGGAAATTAACTTGATGAGCAGCAGAACGATGCTCCTTGTCAGCCCTAATGCCTTTAAATGGGTGTTATTTCCAGGAATGTGTTATGCTTGTGTGTAGTGCAGGCAAGCCTCCGAGAGCGGGGCAGCGGGGAGTCTCTGAGTCAGGGTACCTGTGAGGTCTCACCAGCAGCCAGTGTCCTCTTTGGGTTCAGAACCCAACGCTGAAAACACTACCGGATTCCCGAGGTCTTCGCATCCTTAGGCAAAGCATTGCAGCTCAATGATCATGATCCCCGGGCGCAGCTGCTGTCTGGTGGCCAGATAGGCAGGAGGCCCTGGTAGTTAAGGTCAGGGATCTGGGACCAAGACGTCCTGAGTTCAAACCCATGGCCGGGTGTTGACTGCTTTCGTGACTGTGGGCCAATTGCTTGGCCTCTGAGTATCTCGGTCTCCCCATCTAGTCCATGACGCGAGGGTGTGATCATGCCTGCCTCCTAGGGACGTGGCGAGGCACAAATAGGTCTGTTTGTGAAGCATTAGATCAGAGCCTGGTACGGGGAAGTGCCATGTCATTGCGTATTATCATTGTGGGGAGAACGTTTTATTAACAGGAGTTTATAGCACTGTCTATAAGCTTCTAGCAACGCTTTAGCAGATTTTGAAGAAGTTAATGCATCTGGAAGAATCCACAGGAACGTGCCAGAGCGGGCTGTCAGGTGTCTGAGGACAGGTGTGAGCCGGGCAGTGCAGGCGATTTGGTCCTGCCCTTTGCCCTTTCCCTGCCTCATCCACACTGAGGCTGGCCTCGCTGGCCACGACCCATGTGGGGGGGATGCGTAGTGGTTACGCTGCCAGCAGCAAGGCAAAAGGCCGAGCATGTCAGGCCTCCAGTTCCTTGTTCTCCTCCCTTTCTTTTGCTGCCAAAGAAGAATAAGACAACACGGGCAGCCCATGCAGCTGTGGAGAGAAGATGGCTGATTGCGAAATAATTTTGAAGGATCCTACGTCTCACCCCCCCTCTCCCCCCACCCCATTAGGCAAGAGGACGAGTGCTGGAGCGAAACCTTTCCAAGTAGGAGCAATGGGGACTGGCGCATGTGCGGGGCACGTGTGAGGAGGGAGATCTGTGCTCCAGGGGCATCCAGGTCACTGCACGCGGGCTTCTTGGAGCCGGTGGAGAGCAGGACAGAAGTCAGCTGCTGAGAGAATGTGAGATGGGAGGAATCTCTTAGGTTAAGTAGTTATGAGTCTATTACATGTAAAGGTGTACAATGAACCTTAATCCAAGCAGCAAGTTCCCTCTACTCCTCGGGGCCCCTGGTAGAAGTCGGGACGTGCCCCCCTGTGAAGTTCATGTCCTACTTTGCCGTCCTCTCAAGGAGATAATAGATCAAAGGCAGACTCTGAGGATTCGGGCCGGGTTATTTTGGGTTTCCAGCTGTGAATTTTCTGGATTTCAAAACTCCTGCCTGGATATTTATTTTTTCTCCTGGGAGAGAAGGGAAAAATCCCTCGCTTGCATTCCCACTGTCTAGGATATGAGCTGTTACAAGCCCTGTTGGCTGACCCCTCGGAAGAGGACATCGCATTTGACCAGCTCAGCGTTTCCCCCCCTTTCTCACTGCCGCCCTTACTGTACGGCACGCCCTGGAGACCGAGCGCCTCTGAGAAGCCGTGTAACGCGACCCGCACGGCGCCCGGCCGCCCCTGCCACCTCTTCCCCGCTCCGCCGGCACCGCGGCCATCCCGGCGCTGTGCGGCCACAGTTGCCGGCTGTGACTCTGGAAATGCCTCCTCTGGGTTTGGCTTTAAAAAAATTAATCTGCTGTTTTACAAAAAAAAAAAAGTAAAACGAATTTCACATTCCATTTCTCACGCAGTCAGTGTACTGGCTGGTTTCCAGACCCAAACAATGCAAGTGCCAGCTCCTGGCCCGGGTGTGGGGACTGAGAGCTGCCATGTTCCCTCCTGGACACGTGTGTTTGAAAACCTGAACCAGCACATGAGGCGGCCAACCACCTGGCGTTAGAGCAGGGGTGGGCAAACTTTCTGACTCGAGGGCCGCAATGGGTTCTTAAACTGGACCGGAGGGCCGGAACAAAAGCATGGATGGAGTGTTTGTGTGAACTAATATAAATTCAAAGTAAACATCATTACATAAAAGGGTACGGTCTTTTTATTTTTTTAGTTTTATTCATTTCAAACGGGCCGGATCCGGCCCGCAGGCCGTAGTTTGCCCATGGCTGCGTTAGTGCCCGGGGCCAGCGACGCTGGACTTCTTTGCAACAGCGGGGCAGGCATGTCCAACTGCAAAAGGCCATGCATGTACTTTACATGTTCTGTGAGGCATCCACGCCTCGGAATAACGGGAACTTTTCTTTAATTCTGTTTTCTTTTTCAGTAACTCTTCCTAGCGGGACACTGCACCTTCCCATCTCATCCTTTATCTCTCTCTCTCTCTCTGTCTCTCTCTCTCTCTTTGGTCAATCTGTATTGAATTCTGGGAGACTTCCTTGGATTAGTCTTTAAATTTGTTTATGTTTTCTTTGTGTTTATCCTTGTGCTGAATGAACTGATTTTTTAAAATTTTGTAAGTGGGTGCAGGAACGAGTTAACTCTTCAGAAGTGAGCTGCTCAAACCTCACATGTCCAATGAGGGCCTGCTTTCTGACCTGGCCCTGGGGCAGTGATGGCGAACCTATGGCACGCGTGTCACCTCTGACACACGAACTCATTGTTTTGGTTGATTTTTCTTTGTTAAATGGCATTTAAATATATAAAATAAATATCAAAAATATAAATCTTTGTTTTACTATGGTTGCAAAGATCAAAACATTTCTATATGTGACATGGCACCAGAGTTAAGTTAGGGTTTTTCAAAATCCTGACACGCCGAACTCAAAAGGCTCGCCGTCACTGCCCGAGGGAAACCCCTGGAAGTTGAGCTCTGAGGCTGTGGAACCTTCTTCTGGGGCCACACAGTGCCAACGTGACCAGATGGTTTGTGCCAACACGTGTGGTGCATGGTGAGCCTGTTTTGCTCAGTGGCTGGCATGTGAGGAGGCTGAGTCCTGCCTGCCTACTTGATTGACCCCCAATAAAAACCCTGGACATGAGGCTCAGGTGAGCTTCCCTGGGGGGACAGCGCTTCACAGGTGTCATTACACATCACTGTTTGTATAATTACCTACATTTGAGCAACTCTACTGGTGGAGGACACCTGGAGGCGTGAGTCTGGGCGCTCCTGGAATCCATGCACGTGTCTTCTTCCTCCTGATTTTAATCTGTAGCCTCTTGCTGTAACCAGGAGTTTCACACCTTTCTGAGACCCGTGAATTCTGCCAGCGAATCACTGATACACAACATATATTTCTCTCTCCTACATATTCCATTATGGTCATCTTCTAATTCAGGGGTCCTCAAACTTTTTAAACAGGGGGCCAGTTCAGTGTCCCTCAAACCGTTGGAGGGCCGGATTATAGTTTTAAAAAAAAACTATGAACAAATTCCTATGCACACTGCACATATCTTATTTTGAAGTAAAAAAACAAAACGGAACAAATACAATATTTGTATTTGCATGTGGCCCACGGGCCGTAGTTTGAGGACCCCTGTTCTAATGAGACATTGTTCACATTCTTCTATTAGGATGGAGATGTTTTATTTCTATTCCTTTATTTCTTAGAACATTTTAAACTTACTTGAAGCTTCTTTCTGATTTTTAAAATGTACTTTTTCGTGTTTTGTCTGCAAAAATTTCCACTGGTTAAGCTTACTGGTTCTCGCCTCTGCTTGTCTAGAACACAGTCATTGAGCAGTCCGCTACCTCTTCAGCTCCGTAGACTCCACGGCGCTGGTGCCAGGCTGTGGGGACGTTTCTAAAGGTGGAGGTAAGTTTACCCACAATTTACTCAGGTCCCCATGAGTTTCTCTGACTCTGGACTGGAATGGAAATTCGACTTTAAACGCACAGAGAGAATAGGATTGGGGTTCCGCTATTATTTTATTCAGATCTTTCCCCTCTTCACTGCCCTGGGCTTCCACAAGCATTTGTACTGCATTTCCAGGTTAGTGCGTGGCACTTAAAGTTTTCTCCAATTTTTGTTTCACAGGTTTAACAACAGTTGGGAAATGATATAAAATCTCGTCACCTCTTTCTGTGCTCAGTCGTGCTTTAGTGTTTAATGTACTGAAATAACTGCTATAATCCACTCTCTTCTAGGCTCAGCTGCCTGGATCACAAGGACACTTACTTGTTTCAGGAGCCCAATATATTTTTCAAATAAATTTTTATCATTTACTTCAAATTTACAAATATGGTCTGAATACCATCTTTTAGTGTCAACTTTTATCTCTCTTTCTTATATGTAGAAAGCTTAAGGTTATACATACATGGGCACAATTCCTTTGTGTGTAGAATCATAAAAGCCGAAGTCATCAATAGTGGGTTATTCTTCTAGGGGCCTACTCTTTGACTGGCATCTTGTCTACCTTCGTTTTTTCTAAGCCCAGGCCAAATCTTATTTTTATAAGAATTCTTATTAATAACTCAATTGGGAATATAAAGAGAACACTGTTTACCAGCTTCTAAAGAATTTGTAGACCTAATCCTTTCAGAATGTGAATAATTATAAGTATCAGAAGGATCAGAAGTATGGAAGGGGTATGGCTACTATAAAAAAGGGAAACTATTAAAGAAAAAATGAAGACATTGATAAAATGTTTAATCGATTCTTTATTTCGGTTACCATGGAAGATAACGGATGGACATAAAACCAACAGATCTCCTGGGAAAGGATTTTGAAAGTTCTCACACACAAGTAAGCAAGGTTGAGAAGGAAGTCAGATGTCTAAACATTGCAGAGACTCCAGGGAAAGGCACGGCTTCAGAGTTCTAATTGACGTGACCAACAGTGCAAGCAAAACCTTAGAGATAAGTCTGAGTTTTGTGAAGAAGAAAACTGTAGATCTAAAGGGCAGTGGTTGTTTTTGCCAGGATTTCAAGGGGCATCACTACGCTTTAGCTTCATGTTGAGTTTGGGGAACAGGGCTAGTTTAGAGTGTTTTTCTGGAAGTATACCACTTTCCTAGTTTCTTGTACCCTTTATGGGTGGTAGCGGTTGTCTTTGGAACCTCCCAAGCATCTCTCTATATAAAAGCCTAATATGCAAAGTGTCCCCTTGGGAGTTTGATTGCTCACTCTGACGTGCGCTGACCACCAGGGGGTGGTGAAAATGAAGGAAGGCCCCAGCCGGCAGCTGGCAGCCAGGAGCCGGGGAAGGGAGGCCCTGGCTGGCAGCCAGCAGTCACTAGGGACCGTACTGTGCAAGCATTTCGTGCACTGGGCCTCTAGTGTGAAAATAAAGGAGACACATTCATAAGACTTTTCAATAACTTTAAAAAATTGAGCTAATGTGTTTTTCTACCTGAAAGAGCAGATGTCAGTGTCTAGTGTGTGTGTGCATGTGTGTGCCTGCGAAAGAAAATAAAATTTTAAAAAAACCTCCTATCTTGCATAGTTAAGCAATACTAGGCTTACCTACTTTAATATGCCCAATGGTTTTGCTAGGCTGGTCATTACTAATGGCTGTCCTGTTGCCGGGGTCCAACCCCAGCAGGTCCAGGGGTCCCCAAAGGTGTAGACGGAGTCGGCGAAGAAGGAAGGACACGGAGACAGTGTTCAGTTGATCAGCAGCCTAGCCAGGATCTCCAGCCAGGATCTCCAGCCAAGTTCTGGTCTGGATCTCCAGCGAAGTTCTGCCGTTTATTGTCTTGTTACATCCGTATTTATACCAGTTGATTTTAATCCTGTCAATTTCTATTACAAAGGTTAGGGCGTTTCTTATCTCCATTCCAGGGAGTAAAGATTATGTAGCTTAAGCATGATTGTTCATAGTTAAAGTGATTAATTACCCACCTGGCACTTAGTTAAGAGGTTTTATTCCCTCCCTAGCTTCAGGGGAAAATCCCTACCTGGGGAAGCAACCTTTCTAGGAGAGGCATCCCCTCCCTGACTTCAGGGAAAAATTCCTACCTGGGGAAACAACCTTTCTTGGAGAGGTGACCTTGGTTAAAACACACAGCGCTAAGGGGAGCAAACATATTAAGAACAGTATGCTATATACGCCAGGTCCCTTGAAACATATGCTGTGCAGATGTTTCTTTCCTGCAGCGACTGTGTCAAGCAGCAAGGATGGACCGGCTTCCGGCATCCTGTGAAATTAGTAGGGACTATTAGAGACAAGGAAGATAACGTTGGAAAACTAATAAGGATATTTTATCCCATATTGTATTTTGTTCCCGTCACTCCCGCCTTTTTCATAGTAACAGGCTTCAGTGCGTATCTCCTTGTGTCTTCTGCCATTTCCCGGGCTCCTTCAGGTGCCCCTTACTCGGTCCTCATTTATTTGCGCGACTCACCTCATGCTTCCTGCTCGTATCTCCCTCGCTGTGTGTGCTGTGGGCAATCCGGGCTGGCTGTGTCGTTCACCTTGCTCCCGTATCCAGATCCGGGAGTAGACCCCCTGGGTCCAGCCGGTCTTCCTCTTGCAGCCCACTTCACCTGCGCTCTAGCAGAAACTCTTTGAAATAAAATGGAATTAAAACGAATAAAAGACATCTAAGTGGACCACATGCATCTACACATGTGATAAAATTGTGTAGAACTGAATACGCATACATACAGATGAGTGCATATTTTTATAACTGTGTTAATGACAAGTGTGTGTATCTTAAGGCTTATGGATTGTATCAGTGTAACTCGCCTGACTGGGATATTGTACTCTAGTTCTACAAGATGTTATTGTTGGAGAATACAGAGGAAAGTGTTCACAGAATCTGTTATTTCTTCCACCTGCATGTGAGTCTACAATTATTTCAAAATAAAAAGTTAAAAAAAGACGTAGAAGTGTAAACATAATTGAGAGTCTGGGTTTCGCTTTGTCTTCTCTTGAGTTAGTAATCTTGGACAAGACCGCAAATAATCATGCAGCCCCTTCACGGCTCCCCAGTTGTGAGTAAAGCAAATTAAATGCTACATGCATTAGGGTTCTTCAACTACATTTGCTGTCAATCTTGAACTCTTTTTCATCCATTTACTCCGTCAGTCAATAAATCTTTATGGCCAGACACGTGCTATGAACCACTATCCTGTAGGCCCCGGAGCTGCAGGCAGGGCATTTCCCTGGCTTTCCTGGAGCTCGTTGTCCTGGGCTCGGTGTTTCCGTTCGCTCACATGTGCAGGCTGCTTCGTTGCTATCTTCTTATTTTGTGTTGCGATATGTCCAAGTGGATTCCAATTGCTTTAGACAGAATCCGTGTTTTCAGGCAGAGAACTGTCAAGTTTAAAAATAAACATCAAAACCCACAAAGTTTTCAGAAAGTGGAGGAGCACACGAGCTACTGTGGGATGGAGCCCAGTAGCCAGGAACCAGGAAAAGTGTTTCCTTTGCAAAGGCCCGTGGTGAACAAAGCGCTCACCTTCTTTTTTTTAAAAAAATTTTTTTTTAAATATATTTTATTGATTTTTTACAGAGAGGGAGGGAGAGGGATAGAGAGTTAGAAACATCGATGAGAGAGAAACATCGATCAGCTGCCTCCTGCACACCCCCTACTGGGGATGTGCCCGCAACCCAGGTACATGCCCTTGACTGGAATCGAACCTGGGACCCTTTAGTCCGCAGGCCGATGCTCTATCCACTGAGCCAAACCGGTTTGGCAGCACTCACCTTCTTAAAGGGACTGAGGGTCTTCAGATGAAGCTGCTCGGATAAGCCGAGAGGAAATCTCACTAACGTCTTTTTTCTCTTTAATTCATTTTAAAAATATATATTGTTTTATTTATTTTTAAAAACATTTTTATTGATTTCTGAGAGGAAGGGAGAGGGAGAGAGAGATGGAAACATCAATGATGAGAGAGAATTATTGATTGGCTGCCGCCTGCATGTCCCACACTGGGGACCAGGCCTGCAACCCAGGCCTGTGCCCTGACCAGGAATCGAACCCTGACCTGCTGGTTCATAGATGATGCTCAACCACTGAGCCATGCCGGCCACGCCTCTTTAATTCATTTTTAATTATAGCTGACCTACAGTATCATATTAGTTTCAGGTGTACAACATAGTGACTCAGCATTTCTACGTCTTGCAGAGTCATCACCATAAGCCCAGTGACCATCTGTCACCGTACATAGCTCTCACGCTATTCCCCGTGCTGGACATCACCTCCTCATTTTACAGCTGACGCTGTACTTCTCAACCCCTTTTCTGTTCATCCGCTCAGCCACCTCCACTCAGGACCATCCACTTGTTCTCGGGATTTTTAGTTGGTTTCTGTTCCCTTTTGTTGCTTTTGTTATTCAGATTCCACATATAAGGCAGATGGTATCTGTCTTTCTCCATCTGACTTATTTCACTTAACATGAGACTCATGGGGAGCAAAAATGGGGCTATCTATGCATCTGACCAGGTCAAGGCGACCCATGGCAGGTAGCACAAAGGGTGGTCGGATCTCAGGTTCGTAACTGGGCCGGTCCTGGTGGGTAGCCATGCCCGCACGCCCAGGCCCACAGCTTGCTCAGCAAAGACTCACCTTCCTCCTCAGTGCGCTCTGTCCATTACTCTCGCGCATCTAGGATAACATACCTTGGAAAGGTCGGTATTTTTTTCTAGATCCTTCCAGCCACACCCGCAGGCTGCAGAGGGCAAGCCCAGCAGAGCCCCAACCACAGAACCCCTCATGCTATCTCTTGCCCGCACGCCGTCTCGTGTGCTGTAAATGTTCAGTGTGACTTCACCAACACCCACCAATGGGAAAGCAGTATCTCTCTCTCCACATGGCCTTTTATCCAACCCTGGGGTTCCCCACCTTGCTTTCTCCCACCTCCTTAATCTACCATCAGTGGATTTCACGTGCCGTCCTTACGTTTTCTCTGTTGATTCTAAACGCCTAAAAGAAACTGCAAATCTTCTGTTCACTGGAGCATTTTCTCACAAACTTGGCTCAAATAAACTCTTATAAAACTTTTTTTGTAGGTTTGGATGCTATTTTGTGGACTCTCATTAAGCTATTATTTTTTTCTTTTATAAAAATTTATTGGAGTGACATTGGTTAATAAAAGTATATAAGCTGCAGCTGTACAATTCTATAATATTTGTATATTGTATTATGTGTTCACCACCCACTTACTAAATTCTTAAGGTTCTTAAGTTATAGACTCTATTCTTAGCCTCAAATACTGCTACACTCATTATTTCATCCCTGGATATATCCAACCCTATTTTAAACTTGAATTGGATCATGGAAGATAGGATTAATTCTATTTTTATTTCAGGAGTATGCATGGGGGAATACAAAGGAAGAAAAATGTCAAAATAGTTTCTCTCTAATTGAACACTTTCCTTATTTTCCCAATTCGACACAGGAAATGAGCTGGGATTTGTTTTGTGTTTTTTCCCAGCCTCTGTTTGTAGAGCATTTTTCCCAAGATGAGGAAAACTAGTCTGTGGAGACACATTAATAACTTTGCAAACATGGGCCCATCAAAGTGCATCGGAGGAGGACCCGCTGCCCTGGTGCCGGCCAGCCAATCAGTGGAGACCATGTCCTGAAAGGACACACCTGGGAAGCTGCTGACTCTGCTGTAGAGGTCTTCCCCTGGGGCCTCCCCTGAGATCTCCACCCTTAAACCCTTAGGACAGAGGGGCCAGAGGCCCTCCCTCCTGGGAGCACCCCCTGCCTCTCCCTCCCCTCCCCCACTCTACCGCCTGATGCCTTAGCTTCCTCACTCCCAGGGCCCTTCCTTCACCTCTGAAACTTGTTTCCTAAGCCCATTCCTTCTAGGAATTACTTCTCCCACTTCTGTGATTTACCCAATAAATATTCTCTTACAAAATAGTGGGATTTTGGGGGGCAGAAACGACATTTGAAGGCACCTCTTGGCTAATCGTTAGCATGTCTCTCTGCGATTACGGTGAAGGACTGCAGGTGTGAGATGAGGTGACTTTCCAACTTTCCTGCCTCCACCTCTCCCTTCTGCCTCCGAAAGACTGTGGGCTCCTTGTTCATGCTCAGCGTGTGTCATGGAAGGGTCTGAGCTGCCGCCTCTGGCTCGCACGGCCACGGCCGTTCCGGCCCTAGACTCTCCCCTCTGCTCTCTCACTTTTTTCAGTTTGCAAACTTCTGCGTGCACCGGCTTCCTTTCTTTTCACACTGGATTTCTTGTTCGGTTATGCTGTTTTTGTTAACAATTCCGTCAACATCCTCTTCCTTTGTCTTTCAACAAAACACTCCCTCTAGAGCGGCAACACCGCGGGAACCCTTTAACCTGGTGGAGAAACACATGGACATCGAGGGCACCACAATGAAGACTTTAGTCTCAGGGGTTTCTTCAACACCAAACTTTTTCCTTTTGCTTGTTCACTATTAAACTTTGGAATTCTCCTCCAGTCTTCCTCATGTGATTTGATCGATATTGTGGATCTCAGGGCTCCATTTTCTGGATGCGTGGATCTGGGACATCCCCACATTTTGCAAGGACAAATCTTGGGAGCTGCGCTGGAAAGCAAATATGCTAGGAAATAGTTTAGCTTTGTGTTCTGAAAGGCCACTCTGTAACCTGTGGCTATCCCATCCCTTCACCAAACTCCTGACTGCATTTTCAACTTGGCTTTGAAGAACCAGCTGCTGAAAGCAATAAGTCAGCAGCTGAAAATGATGAATGAGGGACTCACTGGAGTCAGATGAAACAGAGGAGCTTTTCAACAATGTTAGGTAGGCAGCTGGGGATGGGGAAGGGTGGTGACTGCTGGTAAGGGCATGAATATATATATACTAGAAGCCCAGTGCACAAAAATTTGTGCACTGGCTGGGGGGTGGGGGGGTGGTCCCTCAGCCCAACCTGTGCCCTCTCACAGTCTGGGACCCCTCGGGAGATAACCATCTGCTGGCTTAGGCCCACTCCCCTGGTGGCAGATGGCATGCCCAATCCCATGGTGTCTGCCCTGCCTACCCCGCCCCGCACACAGCAGGCCCAGATCCCGCGCTGGGGTGGGCGGCGGCTGGTGATCGCGCTGGGGTGGCGCAGCAGCAGGATCTGCCTGCAGTATGCAAATTAGCCGCCATCTTTGTTGGCGGTTAATTTGCATATGTGCTGATTAGCCAATAGGAGGCGTAGTGAAGGTACGGTCAATTACCATGTTTGTCTACTATTAGATAGGATATACAGTAGCCATTATGCTTACCTGTTTGAATTCTATTTGAAACCTTCTTCTTAGTATAGGTGCACTTTTAAAATTTCTTATTTCGTGGAGCACTACTCACAATATGTCAGAACCAGCATTGAATGAGTGTCAGTTCTGTGCCAGCCCCAGGTGAGGCTGGGAGCATCCGCCGGGGAGGGGCGAGTTTCGATCTCCCAGCACCACTTGCGGACATCATGGCCTGCTTGCCATAGCATCGCACTGTCTGTGGGTGTGCCTGGCGTTCTGGGTTTCAAAACCTTTTTACAGCGTTCCTCCTGTGGCTCATGCTGACTCAGATGGAATATTCTTCAGCGTGCTCCTTTCCAAGTGCTGCTTACACACCTGTCGCTCACGGCTCTCTCTGCTCCAGTTTGATTTATTCCATTAGCCAATGTTCCCTGGTTCCTGGCCTAGTTAATGGTCTGTTCATTTGTACATAAACATTTACACAAGATGGAAAAGATGAAGTAATTTAAACTTGGTCCCTTGTTTCCCCCCCAATGTGAATTGGGGATCACTACACTCCTTCAGTGAAAGGTTGGTTATTCATTGGTTGACTCTGCGTTTTTTATAGCTTCCAGGCATGTTTAATACCTGTGATTAACTGAATTTTTCAGGTTCACATCTGCATTTAATCACACGTTATTGCCCGTTTCCCAGCCTGGTCAGTGTAGCATTGCAGCCACTCGCCCTTCTTCCCCCACCTGTGCGGTCAGGGACTCACAGGCAGTTACACGTTCTCTCTTTCACAGCCGTCGAGCGGCACTTAAATAATATTTAAGAAAGTTACATTTCTTTTGAAGTGGTCACAGGAAGCACATGCCTAATGTACATAAACAGAAGGGCCGAGGCGCTGGCTGGGAGGCATGGTGATTTACAGAGCCCTGGGTCCACAGAGAAGCATGGGCCTGGGGAGGATGAAAGGCTCCATTGGGCCCCGTAGCCCCAGAGTTCCCGGTGAGCACGCCGGATTGAAAGAGCAACTTCTCTCCAGTCCACGTGGCCTGTTTTTTTTTTTGCTACCGCTCAACGAACTTGTGAGAGGTCCTTGTTTTAGCCTAAACACTTCTGTCTCACTTCCCAAACCCCACTTTTTCAGTCCTTTGACCACAGAGAATGAAACCTTAAGGATTAACCATACTTTGGGTAAAAGGGAAAACGGACTCATTCCACGTTTTCCCCTCCTACTGAACAGGATCATTCAAACCAATTCTTCCATTTTTCTCCGAGTTCTCCGTAAACCTGTCGCAAGGGATTTAATTTAAGGAAGAAAAATCACATGAAAGCAGAACAGCGAAACATGTGGTAATGTCTGGCCGCTATATTTTTGGCAAAACTTGATCTAATCCAGGAATTTACATCTCTTCCAAAATCGAGTATTTTTGTTGGTGAGGGTAAGTAGGGGGAGGGCATAAACAATCATGCTGGGATTTTAATTGACTGAGAAATGGGCCGTGAAAAATAGCCTCCATTTTTTTTTCAAGTATGAAGGACACTGGACTATGATTAAAAATTATGAAGGGCTTCTGTGAAATTCATACATTTAATCAAATAAACCTCACAACTAAGTTATTCTTGACACATTTAATGGTGATGCTGACCCCTATTGCTCTAGGAAGTGTTAGGCACATTATATGTAAAAGGACACGTAAGGACTGAAATCGATGTCCCTGATACATAGTCAAAGAAAACCCTCATTGTCTTTCTTAATTCACTTAAAAAGCCCAGAAATCATTGTGCACCGACTATGTTAGATCTTAATTGCCCTTAAGTCAAGAATGACATCTCTCTGTACCACTACTGCTAAAAATATTGGCTGATGATCGGTAGCTACTCAGAGTTGATACCAAAGTGAAGAGTGTGTGGGGCCGGTGATAAGAGATCTTGAAATGACTTCCTTCGGAGGTTCCCAGTTTGTGTAACCATGGTTACTGAATGCGTTTCCTCAGATTAGTTCAATCCACAAGGACCTTGGTTAAATTCTCCGTGAAGCGACATTTGTGTGTTTTCAATCCCAGCCTCTACCTTTCACAATCAGGCGTCCTTAAGGAGCTCAGGTTACACCCTGCCTTTCAGATCCAAGTGGCTGCAGGTGGGTATGTGGAGAGACCGTGACCAGCCACGGGGCGGGGACCAGAGGTGCCTCAGCGAGTCTTGGGGAGGAAGCGGGATGGGCTTTGCGCTGAGGCCATCTGGAAGCTTGGCGCCTAGGAAGGGTGGGATGCGAACCTGGGCCTCGGGTGAAGGACGGACCTGGCCTGTTGGCACTTCAGAGGCCAAATCTAAGCCCCTCTATTCCGTGGTCACAGGAGCAGGACACCGGGAAGAAACAAGGATGGCTCCTTCTCTCTGACCATTTAGTCACCTGAAACCAAACAAACAGGGTCACATGTGGAGTTAACTTTCAGGCGACATTTCTATCTTGTTCCCCGGGCTGAAGGCGTCTGTTTGCTTGTGCACCTCAAATCCAATCAAACGTGGACAGGTCCTGGCTGCCGAGAAAGTGAGGGTTTTTTGGTGGAGGAAATGGGGCCAAGGCTGGAGTTGCAGGTCAGCTAGACCCGGCTCCCGGTGGCTTCCAGGGGGTGGTTACATAGGGCAAAGTCATTGGTCATGGCGGCTACAGGATGGGGTCCTGGGCTCCCCTGATTGGTGAGGGCCAGGGAGGGGAGTGGGTGATCGTCACATCAGACCCTAATGTGAGTCTGGTTTCCTGAGGGGGTGGGTCTGTGAGGTTGTTTGGCTTTCATGGGCCTGGGGTGAAACACAACTGAGGTCAAGATACCATCTTCAGCTTGAATGAGCTGTCTATGACTCGGTGGGAACCCTATTTTTCTGCCAACGGCCATTTGGGTATTTATGACATCATTCTCGGGCCGTACAAAATTACCAGCTTAAGAATTAGTCTGCCACAGTTAGTCAAACATTTAATGAGCTCACCCCTAATGCCTCGGCAGGGCCAGACCAAGTGAGTTCTCGGGCCTCATGGGGCCGGAGGGCCGGACGTCCCCCACCCCTGCTTATGGGGTCCACAGACCCGAGGCTATGCTCTTGACACAGTTTGAGGCTGACCAGGATCTGCGGTCCTAAGGGTTTAATGATTAAGAAAGGGCGTGGACGGGCAGAAAGGAGAAAGGGTCATGTTTAGACAACGGATTTTCTGTGCTTACTCTGTTTATTCATGCCTCTTTCCAAATGAGGCCAAATGCAGCCTCAGAATCCTGGTCAGGCAGCAACTGTCCACACAGTCAGACTTGGGCACTAGAGATAAATCCAGCCCCTGCCCTAGGAATAGTGTGACTTCAGGGCCATGGGAGACGCAGCTGGCTCTAATTTAGATTTCTTCTTTGCCTTCCCCATAGAAGTTCCCCGCCACTCCCACACTGATGTGTGATACCATCTTTGACAGACAGTGCACCTGTCCCTTCAACAAGGAGACAATCTAAATTGCTCTAACATGTCCTTCCAGCTTCCTCCTCTCTGCGTCCTCCCCCTGTGCTCTCTAAAAGCGGTTCTCAACCTGGGGGTCGAATGACCCTTTCACAGGGGTCCCCTAAGACCATCGGAAAACACATCTATAATTACATATTGTTTTTGTGATTCATCACTATGCTTTAATTATGTTCAATTTGTAACAATGAAAATACATCTTGCATATCAGATATTTACATGACGATTCATAACAGTAGCAAAATTGAAGTAGCAACGAAAATAATTTTATGGTTGGGGGTCACCACAACATGAGAATCTGTATTAAAGGGTCGCGGCATTAGGAAGGTTGAGAACCACTGCTCTAAGCCATCCCCTATGCTCATGCCTCCTTTAGGCACTAACGTTATTATTTTTGTTGTTGTTGATAATCCTCACCTGAGGACATTTTTCCACTGATTTTTAGAGAGAGTGGAAGGGGGGAGGAGAGACAGAGAGAGAGAGAAACATCGGGTGTGAGAGAGACAGCCATTGGCTGCCTTCTGCATGCGCCCGGCACCAGGGATGGAGCCTGCAATAGAGGTACATGCCCTTGACTGGAATTGAACCCGAGACCCTTTAGTCTGAGGGCCAATGCTCTATCCACTGAGCCAAACCTGCCAGGGCTCGGGCACTGACTTTAAAAGAACTTCTCCCAGAACTGGGACTTGAAGCTGCCCTCCTATTAAGTGACGAAATGGTGATCCACATGTATTTTACCACAGT